TCAAGATCATGTTTCAGATACAAACTGCAGAATTTGAAAATGCTTGACATGTATTTCAAGGTTCATATCCTTTAAAACACTGCTCAATCATATGCCATCAAAGAAGTGCAATAACATACATCCTAAAACAAAGTAATGTGGAGTATTACTGTAAACACTCTCAAGTGCCTCAAGTACTCCAGATTAAAATGCCTGCTTACCATAGCGAATATTTTCTGTATGTTGGGGAGATAATGGAATATTCTCTTGTCATAAAACCATGCTGATAATTATTTATGCATTGCAAGATTCACTTCTTAGTATTTAAACAGAACGGTAGCATGTTGGCATTGTTTCCAAAAATGTTACTTGCAACACCATGAAAGATTATCTTTTCTATGGCAAAGGATACAGAAGTCAAAGCAATGATTTTGGATATATGGCTTCTATCTATATACTGTGCATATATTGGATCACAGACAACAACAGGCTCAGGTGAAAGTTGTTTGCCTGTTACCTGTCACAGATGCACTTAAATCCCAGATCAGAATTTTATGAAGCATCGCTATTTTTGGGAGTTCTTAGCTTGATTTTCTGCTAATGTTACCAATATTTGGGACTGTTTTCATTGCATGAAACTGTTTATGAAACTTGTATCTATCTGAATGCCTCCACTTGAGATCATCTACTTTATACTTTTTGCCAAAGATCCTTAATCTGAATGCATCATTTAAACTATTGCGAAAATTAATTTTACTGGTCAAAGTTGCTATTCTACATGAAGAAAATAATCAATTTCAAGGCTCCTGCCCTGTTCTAAAGTTTTTTTTGTTTTGTTTTGTTTTGTTGTGATATTACAGATACATTTTTGAGTGGGAATAAACTCTGTTACAACCAGCTTTTATATTCTGCAGACTCATTTATTCATACACTTTGCTTGGAAATCATACGAGCAAATTACCTAACTCTATAGTGAAATTATTTATGCTTTGAAGGGTTCCTAACTTAGCTTTATTAAGTTACTGCAGTAATACTGCTGTAATATATGACAATTTGTAAATGTATATTAAACATGTATTACAGTGTTTTCAAGATATACAAGAAAGACTTCATATTACAGGCCTCTCAAAGCTATCTTTCACACATTCTAATGTTTGGAATTATCATATACAGGGTTTCATAGATCATGGGACAAACTTGGAGGGAAAACATGCATTTTTTTATAAGAATCTTTTCCATGGCAAAGATGGTCTAAAGTGATGGGTTAAGGCAGGAATGCAAAAAAAAAAAAAAAAAAAAAAAAGGCACGAGAGGAAAATGTGTTTATGTACAAAATCAATGCAAAGTGCTTCTTTGTAGCAATGCAGTATTCACAATAAATGTTCAAAATTGCGACCATAGCAGTAATACATGCTTGGTAATGTCGGAGAAGGGATTGACGAACATTTTGAAAAATGACAGCCATTTCGCGCATGCTTCCAGCCGCAGTGGATAGTTGTGCAACGAGGTCCTCCGGTGAGTCAACGGGAGTCTCGTAAGTGATGCTCTTCAGATGGCCCTATAAAAAAAAAATCCAAGCTGGATAAATCTGGTGAACGGAGTGGCCATCAAACAGGTCCACCACGACCAATCCATCGGTCCGGAAATGTCCCATCCAAGTAGTTGCGGACCCGCATGTGGTTATGGGCTGGTGCACCATCATGCTAGAACCACATGCGATCACGAACAACAGCCAGAACATCCTGCAGCAATTCCGGTAGCACCTCTTGCAGAAAAATATAACATAAGCCATTTGTATGTGCAGGTAAGAGGTATGGGCCTATGAGGTAGTCGTTAACAATACCCGCCCTCCACATTCACGGAGAAGCAGGTTTGGAATGCATGCGGGCGTGTGCCGGGGGGATTATGAGTTGCTCACACGTGCATGTTGTTGCTATTGACAATGCCGTCCTGTGAGAAAGTTGCCTCGTCCGTGAATAGCACATCCGATGGGAAATCCACCTGCGCCGCACACTGCTGCAAGAATCAATGACAGAAATGAACTTAAAGAGGGTAAACTGTCTCTTGCAAGGCTTGGACTCTCTGCAAATAGTATGAGTGCAAACCATTTTTATGCAATACTATCCAAATGGTGGAATGACTCATCTGTAGATGATGTAGAATAGCTCTTGTACTTGTCCAAGGTGATTCATGCACAATGTTCAAGATGGATTCTTCAATGCGAGGTTGTCGTGCACTTCTTCTTCCTCTCCTAGTGTCAGAGGTGGCTTCAAATGACCCATTTTCACACAGAGATTGATGCAACCTCTCGAACATTGTGTGCTTCGGCATATGCCTGTTCAGAAACCGTTCCTGGTACAACCGTAGCACTGCTCTGCCGTTCCTATTAGCAGCACTATGCATGAGATGCATACTAACTTTTTCCCTGTACGTAAACTCGCCCATCACACTTGACATCAGAGTTGCGAATGATCCTCTGATGCATCGGATCGTAATTTGTCCGGCTCACTACCACCCTCTACCGCTGCATTGCCAGCCAATCACAGCTGTAGTTCCTATTACTGTTAGTGTTCCCTTTTTTTTGAATTTTTTTTGTGAATACTGTATTGCTGCAAAGAAGTACTTGATTTTGTACATAAACACATTTTCCTCTCGTGTCTCTCTCTCTCTTTTTTTTTTTTTTTTTTTTTTTTTTTGTTCCTGCCTTAACCTGTCACTTTAGACCCTACATTCCTATAAAAAAATGCGTTTTAGTACACTCCACCAACCCTCCAAGTTTGTACCCTACATTCCTATAAAAAAATGCATGTTTTAGTATACTCCACCAACCCTCCAAGTTTGTCCCCATGATCTATGAAACACCCTTCTAATCTTTGGAACTTTGCATAGTTAAAAGACATTGCTTTAAACTTGTAGAGTTGTTGAACTGTAGTTTTCTCATGATCTTTGGAAATTATTTTTACTAGCCACTAGTTAGTTTCAAAGTCCATCATTAACATAATATTTTCTGTAAACATTCCCAAGGTTTAGTTTACTCTCTGTGTAACATTATTTAAATATGTGCAGCAAATTTTATTTGCACCATCCTTTATATTGCAATGTTCCAGTATCATGCTAAAGAAATAGAGAGCTCATTGAAATCATTACTTTGCATTTCCTTCAGAAGCTTTCCAACTTCCTGAGAGTTGTTTAAATAAAAACTGGTAGCAGTTGTAAAATATATCCTAGTATTTTTCAATATATTTAAAAGATTAAATTAAAGAAAATATGTTTAAATCAGATCAGTATTTTAACAGCAATTTGACAATACTGTATCATAAGGCAAGGCATTCAGCTTTTATTTTAGATTTTCTTTATTGTGTTTGCAGAAGATTAATCTAATTTTATAATATCCATTCCATTTATTAGTAAAAGTATTTTAAGCATCTTTGTTGCTGTTTCTATAAGTTTGGCTCAAAATTAAGAATTATTATTGTTGATTTCAATATTAAACTTAGTTAAATTTACAAATGAGCTTGTGCACAGGATTATAAAAATGTGTAAAGCTCTTTGCTGCTGTAAAAGTGACAATATAATTTCACATAATATTTCAAGGGTGTAACATTGCTGCACATTTTGTTTTACCTGGCATCCATTATTTTCAGCCATTGTAGTCTCAAATGTTTTTCATTTACTTTCTTAATTAATTTGTGGAAGTAAATATTTTGCCCATAAAATTATCAAAATGTGGTCTGTAAAATAAGTATAATATATTTATGTTTAAATTTAATTATGTATACTAATTTTTTAATGTTTTGGCATTATTTTCTGATTGATTCACCAAAATAATATTCCAAAAGTCTGAATTAGGACTGACTACCATTTAATAAAATTGCACAAAGTTCAACTCTAGATTAACTTTAATTTCATAGCTTTTTGTGTTTTGCAAAAACTGAGACAAGTCTTTGAAAATCCAATATTTATTTTTTTTTTAATTTAAAGCTAATATATGTGCGTCAATGTAGCAGTAAAACTGACAAATAGCTTAATATAAAGAATCTTATTATGTGGGTGTTAACATTAAATTGTGCTACAATAAATTGGGTAGAGTTTCAAAGGGATTTAAGAGAAAATAACTGTGTTATATTTATGTCCATTCTTTTAATGCGAATTTCATTGCCAAAAACTTAATTGAATGACAAGAAAGCCTTTATTAGCTCTGGTATTTGGAAGCATTGTTAACCTTGAATATTAAGTTCCCATGTATGTGTTATTGCATGATTATTTGGTATATGTGTGACCTGGTGTATGTATTTGATATTTGTGATGCTTGCACAAATACACACAGGAAAAAATTTTAAGTCTATGTGGGTAGAGGTAAATATATTCAGTCCATATGCTATTCCATTTTATAATATTCTTTACTTAATTTCCAAAGGATTAAAAAATGTAAGACTAAACTATCAGTTATTTACCTGATTGTGTTTATGCGTGAAAAGGTTTATCCAGAGGTTTAGTTTCAAATTACTATTTGTAGGTGGGTTTTAAAATACATGATGATAAAAATGTTTAATGAAATAAATGATTTTAATGAAATTTCGAGTAGCTTAGATTTCAAACTTGGTCAGCGCTAAAAGTTAAAACTCGCTCATTCTGGCATAAACTTGGTGCTACAAGCAGATGACCCATAGCACATCAGGTTGGAGATCTCTGTACTGAAAGGGTTAATAATAAACTGATGCAAAATTTAACTTCTTCAATTTCTTTTAAGAAAATTTCATTTTTCTCATATAAATGTATACTAATTTATGCATTCAAATAAAATATCAATAAAGCATTACTTTCACTAGATATTTTTGGGTAACACTGTGTTTTGAGGAACATGATCTAACTTTCCATGCTACATTTTTCTGTGTTGTATTTTTATATGCTGTTGTTTCAGATTTTTTGGCATAAGAAAATTAATTTCTTTTCAAATTGAAGTTTTAAAAAATTTATATTTCAATTAGAATTTGTGGTATATAATAAATTTTTACTTTTAGAAGACACTGAAATTGAGAACTTGAGTGATGCTGATATAAGCGCCAGCCCTAACACTTCCAAAAAAAGCAGTGTTGACAGTACAAAAGATGTGTCCATGCAACAGAGGCTAAGTGTAGGGTCTGAAAATGAGATCCAAGCAAATTTAGAAGAAGATAGACCTTTTATTCCCTCAGACTCTAATGAAAGAAACAGAGAAGACTGTGTAAAATGTGATGATTCATCTTGAAATAGAATACTGTCTTTCACTGCTAGCCTGCAAGAATTGTATAAAAATTATTTTTCTAAAATATATGTAAAAATTTGCCCTGTGCTTGTTTTTACTGACATAATTTTTTTTTTTTTTTTTTTTTTTTGCTTTAAAGGCACTTGCTGACTTGGATGACTGATAAGAAAATAATTTTTTTACAAAGTGAACAATATGTTTCCAGCAAATATATTATTTTTGTCATCAAAAGCTTTTATTACAGTGCAGTTTAAATACTTTTTCTAGTATTTATGGTATATATAATATACCTAAGATATTTAATATTAATATTTATATTAAGAGTCATATATTTATTCAAATGTGTTTAACAGAATATTTTTTGTCTGCAGATTTGATTGCAGTTATACAATGTAAATATTCTGCATAGTATATGAAATTTTAAGCCCATAAATTATATTCACAGTATTAATGAAGTTCAGAAACAATCCCAGAATGTTAATTGTGAAAAAAAGCATTAAATGTTCTTGTTTTTTCGCACATAAAACTATATATGCATCTGTATTGCATTGTTATGGGATCAGATAATGCATGTAAAATTGCTTTATTTTGATGTATTTGCATGAAATGCATTATTAATTCAGATTGAAAGGAACTTTATCACACGTGTATTAAAAATGTAAATAATTTTCAGTTATGTGTAAAGAATCTTTTTAAAATTATTTAATAAATTAGATGAATTAATAACTCTGCAGGCCCAGAGCATGTTAATAATGAGCCTTTAGTCTTATTTTTTAGACAGCACAAAAGTTTAAATTTCTGAGTATCTTAACAAGTTTGTATGTGGTTGTCTATATTCATTCATATTCAGTGATTTCTTGGTAATATTAGTTCATGATGATGTTATTGTATTAAAGTTAATAATACATTCATCAGATTCATGATACATATTATCATTTAAAAGAGGATAGATACTTTAGACTTCAAAAAAGTATTTTTTTAAGGAAACTTGAAAATATCTTTCTCTCTCTTATTACACATTATGAAGTCTTTTTAAATTGTTATAAACATAGGTTAGATGGTGTATAATTTTAAATTAGATTGCTTTTCAGAATGTAATTTCAAATTAAAGCATTTTTTAGTAATCTTAACTGTAGAATTGTTTGAAAAGCATATCTTAATTTCAAATATTTCAAATTGGGGAATTTGTAAACCAAGAGATCACTGTTTGTTTTATTCAATTAAAGCAGTTGTGTACTATAATTGGATGAACTGATAGAATAGCTAGCACTTTGTATTTCTCATATTATTTTTGACAGACAGTTTCCTTGTAAATTTTTCATTTAGGAATATCAACATTATTATATTGCCATAACTGAAGTTGAGCATTATTTATTATGATAGTGAGTTGCCATTCATGAAAGAAGTACTTATATCTTAATGATTTTCTCTCCCAGCTTTTGCCTTAGTGTTACAAATCATACATTGTTTCTTTTGTGATAGTGTAAATATTAGTCAAATATAGTATAAAATACTGACATATTGTTTACTCTGCACAATTACAGAGTTAAAACAAGTTATTTAAATTAAGCTAAATATTTGTGGCTTTCTGTACACAGTATCCTATTAGGTTGTTAAAATTTGAAATTGTTTTAAGGAGTTTTTTCAATGTATGTATTTGGGAGTGTTAAAATCATATCTGTTTTAGTTTCCCAAATTCACAATTGCTCAAATTCCACTATAGTCATCTAATTGATTTTAATAACTTTGTCTGGTATTAATATATTTGTTGCGTGCAATGTCTGTTAATTTATGAGGGAAAAAATAAAAACACAGTTGCAGAAATCTGACTTATTTCGCTCATTTATTCAATCTGAACGACCTTTTTCTTTCATACATACTTAGTTATTAACAAAATTCTTTGTTGACCAACAAAAGAGGAACTTTGTTTATTACCCTTGAGCAGTGTTTCCCAAACTTTTAAAACAAAACAACAAATATATGTGTATATAATAAATTTCGTAATGCTTCTATAATTTCCTTGTTATTCTATAATAATGCCCCTTCTATAATTTTGTTAACACTGAGTATATCCCTTGTTAAAAAAAATGGATGTATTTTAATAACAATCAAAATATATTTATTTTTTTCTTTTTTGTGACATACACAAAATAATAATAAAAGATAAATAAAATATAAATAAAAGTTATATTATAAATAACATTTATTTGGATTAATGAGAAGAATGAAATTGTTTGTGCCGAGATGACAGATCATCTTAATTTGGTTCCCTGGTCGTTAAAATTAACTTCACATAAATATGAAGTTGGAAAAGACAAGATATATTTCAGAATTTTTTCTGTTAAAACCAGATAGACATGTTGCATTTGTAACCAGAGTGATGTTAAACTACACTCCTTATGTTTATTTTTCAAGAATCTGTCTTCTGCTTGTGACGAATCTTCTGGCATCGATGTTGTGTTAATGTTAAATGGATCTTATCCATTAAATATTTTTCTTTAAAATCAGAGAAATAGTTTTTGAAGCCCACTTGCAATCTCTCCAAATACTGTGTTATGCATTTCAAAGTATCAGCATCAATTTTAGCAGTCGAATTTGTTATGAAGAGGGGAAAACGAGTTTACTTCTCCATTACCAGCTCTCTTTTGCCATAAATTTAGTTTTGCGATGGCAGCGTTCACTTTATCTTGAATGTGAAACAATAAAATTTCTTTGCCTTGTAATATTGAGGCAATTTAAAACAGAGAATATATCTGCTAAGTATTATACAGTCAAAAGTCGTTAATTTGGACACCCATAATCTGGAATGATCTATAATCCAGACCTCAAAGCTACAAACTTTCTGCGCATGTGTCGTGTGGACGCATGCGCATAGGCGTTTATGCATGCGCGTAAGACCTTTACGGCTGCGCATATGCGTGTGCGCATGCGCGTGATACGTTTACGCAAGCACGTTTAATGTATAACGGACGGTATAAGCTAAAATTATCTAATTATCCTCTTCGTAATGTTGCATTGCGTTGTTCCTTAATCTTCGAATTGGATCCGGCTTATTATTTTTTCAGACTGTTAGAGCAATTTTATAAAAAGCTGAACTTTTGATTATGTCAAATAGAATTCCGATGCTGGAACTCCCAAAGGATCTACCAAGTGAAAGTATATTTCGTGTCCATCAAACAAAAAGTGGAATTGCTGCACAAAAAAAAATGGATAAGGCATATCCTTTGTCTCTCTAACATTCGAAATCTGTTTATCAATTTTTCACGCTGCTCTGCTTCGGAGGGGCGGGGGGTAACGCCGCGATACACAATGAATTGGAAGTTATCTGTCAGACTATCCTTATCCTTCAGGGCATCATGTTTTTATTTTATTTGGCTTATAATTCCTTACTAAATGTAGTATTTCATCTCGATGTACTCCATCTTTGATATGATTTAAATCAAATGCCTCGTCTTATAATTCGCTTCTGATAGTGAAGGGTCACAGAGTTAATTGAAACGAGAAATTTGGTTGACAAATTTCGGTATTCCTGACACAGAATCATTAGGACTTGAACGTGGAACTTTGAACTGAACAAAAATTATGTCGTTTATAGAATTAAAGAGAAATATTATCACCTAAACGAACAATACATTGAAAGAAAGTTTAATAAAGTTAACAAATAAATATTAAGCTTTTTTTTTGTAAATTTTGATACCGTTTAGATCATATTGTTCTTTATTTCATAAATTATAGTTTCATATTTTTTATTTTATAATTTTTACATGCCATCTTACCAGATTTAATCTAATGATCTATAATCCGGAATCGCCGAAGTCCCGACGAGTCCGGATTAATGACTTTTGACTGTACTAGTTTACAAAGCCATTTCCAATCATGTAAACAATTTTTCAACTCAAATCTATCATTAAAACATTAAAGTTCAAACAATCGATTTAGAATTTTTCCTCGAGATAGCCAACAAACATTGGTATGAAAAAGAAGCTGGGCACGACTACTTTCTATTTCTTTGCTTATTTGAGAAAAATGTCATGCATTCAAAGGATTTTTTTTTTTTTTTTTTAATGTAGTTAATGGTTTTCATGCTTTCATCCAGAACTTTCTGTAAATCAACAGGCATCTTGAGTGTTGGCGAAGCTTCTCTGTGTATGCAACAATGTGTGGATATGACATTTGGGGCAACATTTTAAATTCTTGCAACAAGTCGTTACCTTTTGCTCCATACCTCCAACCATACATTTGCTCTGTGTTTATTCCGATACATCTAATCCAATCAATTTTGTTCTCTTGCATAAATTTATTCGTAATATTAAAGATATCGTCTTCTGTTGTGTGGCCTAGCAAAGGCTGGTAAAATAAAAAGTCATGAATTTCTTGATTTTTTCTATATCTAGCAAACGCTGTAAGATTTGCAAAATTCATGATATCAGTGGACTCAACAACTTGCAGTGCATAATAACTCTTTGAGAAATATTCAGATAATAACATCTGTTTCACGTTATTAGACATATCAATAATTCGTCGATGAACTGTATTATCTGAGAGAGAAACACGGTGTCAAAAGTTTGCTTCACTCTGTCTCCTATCAGTACTTCTGCCATTATCTTGGTTGCAGGCTTGATTAAAATTTCACCAATGGTTTCCACTGCAGTAAATTTTGCAATTAAAAGCAGCATGCAATACAAAGCTCCTAGTATTTTTTATTGTCATCTCCTGTCAAAGCCTGCTTTACTTTTTGAGACACATTTAACTCCTTAAGTTTATTTTAAAAAAAATCTATGGGTTTATCTGTGCTGATTATGGTTTGTCTCAAAACTGCACTTTAAGTTGGATGGTTTCATGCTTTCGTTTGTTGGATTTTCAAAACAAATGACGTAACCTGGAATAGGCTCATTTTCATCTCCAGCAAATGAGAATCCAAATTTAAGATATTAGTTGTCATACTTGTGAGTTTTTCTTGCTTGTTCCTTAAGAGGTTTTTTTTTTTTTTTTTTTTTTTTTTTTCAGAATTGAAGTTGATTTGTCATTGATTTCATTGTCTCCTGTTAGTTGATTGCTACTATAATCAATACTTTCTTTCGTTGTAGTAGTTTCAGATTTCAACCAGCGATTCATAACCTATGTTAGGGGTAAAAATTATATTTAAAAAAAATAATCGAAATCAGTGTGACTTACTAAAGCACATAACAAACATTTCCTGTAAGAAAAATCGCACAAAAGCTAAGAATACACAGGCGCCTGGAGAAGCCAACTAACTGTTAATGAAGTAAGTTATCTATGTAATGTGGTATATTCCTGCCATGTCATATCAGACCATCTCACACCTCTCAAGACTGTCTTGACTCATGAGAATGTAGAATTAGGTTCAGCTAAGAAGCTGCAGTGCATATCCCTACCAAACGTTGGTGCAGTACGTACCCCCACCACCTGGGGGTATGCATAGCACACTTTGGGAAACACTGTCCTAGAAGAACTTTGTTTATTACCTGTTGATGGATCAGTTTAGAATTTTTGCATATGTTGGAAAGAGAGAGTCCTCCCCCTTCCCAAAAAAAAGTTCTGTACAAAGAGAACTAGTATTGATAATTTTTTTAACAGAGAGAGCAATATTGGATCTGTTTAATATTTATTAAAAATAAAGGATTAAAGATATGATTTATTAATAAGTGACAACGAAAAGAATTTTTAAAGTATTTTATTTACAGCTGTTGAAAGTTACGAATGTTTGCATATGTATGTAGTTGCTTTTAATCTATATTAAAAAGTTATTACAGTGAAATTTTGGAATATTTGAATTATTGATCGGATGATCGACTTCTCAAAATTACCAAAATTTATCCAATAAATATGTTTCATACTGCTCTTAGCTATGTTAAAAATTATAGAATAACAAAAGGCTGTAAGAGTACTTGTTCCTAAATAAATAACTTCTGCTGTATTATCAAATTGCTATCTTGCCTGAAAGGTCATAACTGCTGGATATGATTTTTGGTTATCTAGAGTTGAAATGTAATTTGTTCTTCTTCTTAAACATTATTTACCTCTTTTTTTATTGCTTCAGATATATCTGTATCAATTAGTTTATTATAGGTTGTAACATGTTTGTAAATGTATATGAAGCACTTAGACAGTAAACTATTTGGCATCTTCATTATTCAAATTCACACATCTAGATTCATATATCATTTGGAACTACTCTTGAATCAGTTTTTGACTGTGGTTTTTTAAGTCATTATTCCAACTACTCACAATCAGCCTGATTTTTCTAACTTCACATTTATTGTTTTTCAGCTTTCATTATCATTGACTGCATTTTAGAATTGCCATTTTCTTTAGGAATATTGAAAGCTTTTAATGATTCTTTAGTCAGCTGGTTGCAGTTTAGCTGTTGTGCTTTCAAACAGAAAGTCTAATTTCTTTGATTTCAAGTTTTGAAGATCATAGTGGGTTGTTCAGTTATGAATATGTTCTTATTTTTTGTGTGAAATATTGAATTTGAATCCTCAAACAGTGTAATAGTCATAAAAAATTGTATTTAGCTTAAAAACAGACCTTTGTGTTTTTGAAACCATAATTTTCTGTGTATTTATTTAAAACAGTAAAAGTAATATCTTTTTTCCAGAGGCATTTACTTCTAAAAACATACTTAAACTGTGTTTGTATATTTTTATACCAGAATATGATTTGCTTTTATTAACGTTCTTTCAGTGCCCTTTATTATTGTATATTTTATTATAAATTCAGAGTGTTTTATCTGTTACTTAATTAATTTTAGTGATACAGTCAAGTGCAAAATTTAAAATATGTAAAGGTTCAACAAAATTATCAT